GTCCACTCTCTACTCCTGGCTTTGGAGACTTCACACTCTCCTGGCTCATCAGTTGCTCCTACTCATTCTTTGCCAGCTCATCCTCTTCTGCCTGACTTTTCTTTTCTTTTTTTAAAGCAGGTAATACGTTTACCTGATTCATAATTCAAAAAGATGTCCTAAATTTCATCAATCCTAAGATGAACATTTTATATTTCCGAAAACATTTTAATGTCTGTGTCTTTAAAATTTTGGCATCTTATCATTATAAGTTGGTGGCATTTTTTTCTTTCTTTTGTTCAATAAGATAATGATCTATCTTAAAATTGATGGTGTCTTGGATTTGATGGTATAAAGATACATAGTAAAAATTTCCTCCCACCTACTCCCCTACTCCGCATGTATTCAGTTCCTCTGGCCCCCAGGAACCACAATTATTTTTTTCTTGATGTCCTACTAGAGATTCTTTGTGTATATATTGCCAAATGCAACTGTGTATATCCCCCTCCTGACTTAAAAGTATTTATTTTTTTATTTTTAAAATTTTATTTTATTATTTTTTAAATATTTATTTATTTATTTATTTGGTAGCGCCAGGTCTTAGCTGCGGCTCGCCAGCTCCTTAGTTGCAGCACATGGGCTCCTTAGTTACTGCAGGTGGGCTTCTTAGTTATAGCTCCAGGCTTCTTAGTTGTGGCATGCAAACCCTTAGTTGCAGCACATGGGCTCCTTAGTTACTGCAGGTGGGCTTCTTAGTTATAGCTCCAGGCTTCTTAGTTGTGGCATGCAAACTCTTAGTTGCAGCATGCATGTGGGATCTAGTTCCCCGACCAGGGATTGAACCCAGGCCCCCTGCATTGGGAGCGCCAAGTCTTATCCACTGCGCCACCAGGTCCCTTTATTTATTTTTATGAAGTATAATTGACATACATTACTTTCAAGTGTACAACATAATGATATTTATACAACATAATATTTGTATATATTGTGAAATGATCACCACAATAAGGCTAGTTAACATCCACTGCCACACATAGTTACAGAATTTCTTTTCCTTGTAATGAGAACTTTTAAGATTTACTCTCTTAGCAACTTTCAAATATGCAGTACAGTGTTATTAAATGTAGTCACCATGCTGTACCTTACATCCCTGTGATTTATTTATTTAGAACTGGAAGTCTGTACCTTTTGACCCCCTTCACCCATTTCACTCACCCCTCAGCCCCCGCCTCTGGAAACCACCAATCTCTTCTCTATGGATGAGCTTGGTTTTTTGTTTGTTTGCTTTTTAAAATTTTATTTTGTTTTAGATTCCACAAATAAGTGAGGTCATACAGTATTTGTCTTTCCTTGTCTGACTTATTTCACTTAGCATAATGCTCTCAAGGTCCATTCATGTTGTCACAAATGGCAAGATTTCATTCACCAACCTTTGGTATCTCATCCTTCTTATAACAGCCATTCTAACACGTGTGAGGTGATATCTCATTGTGGTTTTGATTTGCATTTCCCTGATGATTAGTGATGTTGAGCATCTTTTCATGTATTGATACCCGTTGGCCATCTGTATGTCTATTTACCCAACTTTTTATTTTGAAAAATTTCAAAGCTACAAAAAGTTTAAAGAACAGTGCAATGAACGCCTGTACTAGGGCACTTCACCTAGATTCAGCAGCTGTTAACATTTCGTGACATTTGCTTTGTCTATCAATATCTCTGATTTTTTTTTTTTTTTTGGCCGTGCCGCGTGGCTTGAGGGATCTTAGCTCCCTGACCAGGGATTGAACCTGGGCCCACAGCAGTGAAAGCACCAAGTCTTAACCACTGGACCACCAGGGAATTCCCTATCTTATTTTTTTGCAGAACCATTTGAAAGTAAGTAGCAGACAAGACACTGTATTTCTAAATATGTCAGCATGTTATCTCCTAAGAACAAAGATATTCTCCTATGTAACCACAACACCTAAGAAATTTAACATTGAACAATGATATCTACTGTTCAGGCTATATTCAAATTTCTCTCCTTGTCCTAAAAATGTCCTTTATAGCTGTGATTTAAAAATCCAGGACCAGTCATTGCAGTTGGTTGCATGTCTCTTTAGTCTCCTTTAATTTAGATGAGTCCCTTTACCAATTTTTATCTTTCACGACATTAACGTTTATCTTGGAGAATTTCCCACAGTCTGGATTTGTCAGATTCTTTTTCTTAATAATTATTTTCAGATTAAAGGTTTTGGCAATCATACTGCATTGATGATCTTATGTCCTTCTGTGTGTATCACATCATGAGGCACATAATGTCCTTTTGTCCCATTATCAGAAATGCTAAGTTTGGTCACTTGGTCTGCCAGATCCTCTCATTATAGAAGTACCTTTTCTCTCTCGTGATGAGTAAATAATCTGGGGGGTGACAGACTGTGTGGCTCCCCTCTTCCCTAATCACCTTCCACCCAGTGATTTAAGCAACCATTGATAACCCTTCCCTGTATCAGTTCTGACATAGGGGTTGCAAGATAATGATTTAAAAAATTATGTCATTCCTTCTATATTAGAACTTTTCTTTCCCTCCTCCCTTCCTTTTGTGTACTATAGTTCACTTACGCATTCTTTTCAGTGTGTTATGATCCATTACTGACATTACTCGTATTTTTTCTCCAGCTTTTTATTTTGAAAACTTTAAAGTTGAAAGAATACAAGGCACACTCATATAACTTCACTCAGATTCACCAATTGTTAGCATTTGCCACATTTGCTTTGATTCTGTCTATATCTATCCATTCATTATTTCTTATTTTTCTGAACTATTTGAAGCAAGTTTCAGATATCACGATACTTTATCCCTAAGCCCTTGAGCACATACTTCCTAAGAAAAAGGACATTTTCCTACATAACCTCAATAACATTATCACACCCAAGAAATGTAACATAGACATAATAATATTATCTAGAGTCTATATTCAAGTTTCCTCTGATATCCCAGTGTTTCCCTCTTGAACCAGGATTCAATCAAGGTTGACACATCAGTTTTTGTTGCCATGTAACTTTTTTTTAAAAAATATTTTATTTATTTATTTGGCTGCACCAGGTCTTAGTTGCGGCACACAGGATCTTTAGTTGCAGTGCTTGGGCTCTTTAGTTGTGACATGTGAACGCTTAGTTGCGGCATGCATGTGGGATCTAGTTCCCTGACCAGGGATCGAACCTGGGTCCCCTGCACTGGGAGTGCAGAGTCTTATCCACTAGACCAGGGGTCCCCAACCCCCCTCCCCCATCAGTCTGCAACCCAAGGCCTGTTAGGACCCGGGCCGCACAGTGAGAGAGCGAAGATTCATCTGCCATTCCCCATCGCTTGCATTACCGCCTGAACCCCCCCCACCCCCCCACCCCTGCACAGTGCATGGAAAAATTGTCTTCCGCGAAACTGGTCCCTGGTGCCAGAAAGGTCAGGGACCGCTGCACTAGACCACCAGGGAATTCCCCAACAATCTTTCATCCAGTGAAAGATTTAGCAGCCACTGAGGATCCTTGTCTGAATCAGCTATTACATTCATAATTGCAAAATTAGGAGATTTTCTAATTCTGTCACTCCTACACTTAGTGCTAGAATTCTTCTGAAAAGAATAGCTTGCTTTCTTCCTTCCTCCCTCTTCTTTTTAAAAATAAGAGTGTCACTTTGGACTCATGGATTATTTTTTAATAATGTTATATTACTGTCATTATTTTTGTTGCTCTTAATTCTCCCAAATTTGGCTGTTGGTAGCTCCTTCAAGCTGGTGTCCTCTTGACACCAATTAGTTGAATTCCTTCTTGCTTCTGGCACCACAAGATGTTTTAGGCTAACGTTGTATTTCCTTGTCCTGGCTTGGGACCAGCCACATATTTTTAAAGTCATGAGTTCATATTGATGCCTCCAATTCAAATCCAACATCACAGGACTCTGTCTTACCTTCCTATATTCCATATTCTGTCTCCATACCTAACACTGAGAACCCAGGTTTCAACAACATGAACACATTCTCTCATATGCTGTCTGCTACAGTTCACATGACAGAGTTTCAGAATCATCACACTAGTACCAACAGTAACAGTAAACCCGCTAAGAATTCAGATTTCTTTCCAGTTGTTTTTGCTCTTGAGATATATCCCTCTAAGAGAACACAGAGTACTGAGATGAAGTCACTTGGCCAATTCTTTTTCCTGTGTGATTGTGTTATCAATTCACAGTATAGATAGCTTCATTTGTTTTTGTTTATTTCAATTTTAATGGTTCTCTCCAATTTCTTTTTTGTTTGTTTCTGTTTTTGGCAGCATTTCAAGGCTTGTGGGTTCTTAGTTCAGGGACCAAGGATCAAACCCAGCCCTGTGAGTGAAAGTGCCAAGTCCTAACCACTGGACCACCAGGGAATTCCCTGCTTTTTTTACTTAACAGTATATCCTGGAAATCATTCCATAGCAGTTCATAGAGATCATCTTCATTCTTTTTTACATCTATATATTATTCCATTGACTGATGTACCATAGTTTATTCAAACAGTTGCATTTAGGTTGTTTCTAACATTTTGCTATTGTAAAATAGTGTCATGTTGAATAACATGTATTTGTTGTTTCTTACGGGTAAATAACTAGAAGTAGGATTCTGGGGATAAAAGCAAAATATATTTTTATTCTCCTCTCCCCTCCTTTTTTTTCTTTTTTTCAATATGAAAGGTAGCATAAACTATTCTATGTCTTGCATTTTTCCAACTACTTGTAATTGTGGAGTTCTTTCCATATCAGTATTAAAAAAAATTTGTTTTTGACAGATTTTATTTATTTATCTATTTATTTATTTATTTATTTTTGGCTGCATTGGGTCTTCGTTGCTGCTCTGTGAGGTGGGAGCTGCCTCCAGTTCATTCCACCATGGAAATGTGAGATGAGTCCTGCTCCAGGGAGTTTCCAGCCTGGCTGGGACTAAGAGAAGGACTAGGTTGGGTGAGCCATGATGTTCAACCTTCTCTGGCTCTTTTTCCTTCCAGTTCAGGACAAAGAGGAGTGGACAGGCCGCTGGGCCGGCTGGTGCCATCATGTCAGGTAAGGAGAGGGTGGGCCACTTGGGTAGGATGTAACAGTGAACTTAGGGTAGGGGTCCCTTTACGCCCCCTAGTTTTTGAAGGTCAGGTTCTTTCTGTCCTCTTGCCCCTGGATTTCCCCTGGTTCCCCACTGAGGCCTATTTATCCAAGACCCTCACTGTCTAGCCCTCTGTCAGACCTCTGACCCTGGGGACCAGGGGTAGCACATCCTGATGCTCTGGTCCTACTGTCTGTCTGACTGATAAGTGGCATGGATGTCTCAGTCTCCATCCTCTCTGTCACCATTACTCTCTAATACTGTGAGACCTTTTCATTCTGGTTTCTGAGTTGTCTGGTTTCCAAAGGCTCAGAGCTGGAGGGACCTGTAGGGACTATCTAGTTTGACCCCCACCGCACTGGATAAACTGAGGTCTGGAGAGGGGTAGTGACTCACCCAAGAGCATAAGTGTTGGAGTGGAGGCTAGATAGAACCCACGTACCCAGACTCACCATGCTGCTTCCTCCACCCGGAACTGGTCCCCCACTGAAGAGGGTGCTGCACCCCTGATGGACAGTGTTTATTGTTTTTATTCTTCTGAGAGACAGTGACACTGCCTCAGGGCTACTTTGGGAGACCTGAGGCAGTGGGGATAGCTGGGTGGGGATAGCAAAGTGGCCTGTGCCCACAGGGGCCAGGAGGGCAGCCCAGGCCAGGGAAAGAGTGATCATATTGGATCATCAGGGAGGGGAACATTCAGGGTGATACCATATGATGTGCCTCGCCCACAGAGAAAGTGAACAACTTCCCACCATTGCCCAAATTCATCCCGCTCAAGCCATGTTTCTACCAAGACTTTGAGGCGGATATCCCTCCTCAGCATCTCAGCATGACCAAGCGCCTCTACTACCTCTGGATGCGTGAGTGCTGTGGGATGGGGGTGGGCCATAGCTGGGGAATGGGGGAGGGGGAAGGCTGGCGGGTGCTGGGCATTCGGACGGGGTCCCCACAGGCTCGGTGTCCTTCAGCCTCACTTGCAGCATCTGTGTGGGCCAGTAAGCCTTTCCCTGCCTGACTCCTGCAGGCTCCTCTCCTGGGCCGACTCCCCAGCTGGGCCTCAGTTTCCCTCAACCTCCCATCTAGGCCTCTCCCCATCTCCCAATCACAGAGCAGCCGGGTGGGGGGTCTCTGTCTGCGGTGTAATTCCTCATTTCTTCCTCTCCTTCTCCTTTTCACTGGAGTAGTTTTCCAGGGATCCTCTGATGACTGCCTCAGGATTCTGGATTTGGAGAGGAATCCTCCCCTCAAAGCCACATTTTTCTTGCTTTCTCTGGAAAATTGCTCAAAAAGAACATTCAGCTGGGATTTAGGAGATATGGGAGGAGGCTGGGCTGGTCACTCCACTTCCCAAGTGGCAGGTTCCTCATTTATAGGAAAGAGGGTATTGTCTCAGTGATCGCTGTGGTTCCACGTAGCTCTGCGTTGAGTCTAGAGTTTTAATGTTCTAAGATTTTGAGGTTGAGAGTTTAAAAGCCCCAATTTCTCATGGTCTGTGGCAGTAGAATAATTACGGCTGGGGCACTAGATCAAGTGAGCTGGAGAGAGGTGGGACTGGGAAGAGAGGTGTAAACCAATATAAAAGCAGTTTAATGTCTGTTCTATGTAAAGAGCAAATAAAATCAGTGAGAACACCAAGGTTCCAAGAAATCTGGGGGCAATAAACAGGGATGGAGGAAATACAGCTGAAACTCACAGAAAGAAATGCTTACCCTCATGGTGAGGGGCCCTGAGAAGGGTGTACCTTCACAGGTGACAGCGTTGTCAGGCCAGACTTGGGGAGCACTGGCCCTGGGCTCTGAGAACTCTGCCCCTGAGAAGATCTCATCCAGGAGCTGGATTTAAGGGCTATAAATATCTTCCTAAGTCCTCACTAGGTGCCCGCCAGATGCTGTGTTCCCAAGGAAGTGTATATAACCCTTGAGATGCTTCAGGGTTCTATTCAGAAGCCAGGACCATAGATACCTGGCTGTTTGAGGCCAAGATTAAGCCTGCCTTCCTTTATTTATTCAGTAAGTCTTTGTGGGACCTTAAATGGACTCAGTCTAATGTTCGAGGAAAGGAGCACCCTTATGTCAGATGACCTGGGTGTGTGTGAGTGACAGCATCAGATGAGGAGACTTGAGGTCCCTGCTGGCTCTGACTCAAGGATACAGTGATTCCAAGGTTTAGCTAGATTATGTGGGCACAGAGGAGGGGGAGCCTGGGTGTCACTCTCGGGGAGCTTCTAGTCTGGTTGGTGGGCTGGGATTTGTACTTGGGGAAGCATGAGAGCGCCCAAGTCTTCAGGAGGTCAGAGGGATGGGAGATGAATAAGGCTGCAGTAGTGAAAGAAGGCTTCTTGGAGGAGGTGGCATAATAGTTGTCTAAGAAATGGATTAAAGAAAGACAGATCCCAGCCACTGCTGCCTGCCCCATTTAAGTGTGGAGCGGATGGTACAATGGCTTAAAGAGATGTTACCTTTTACTTTCCCCTTTTCATGCCCTACCTTGCAAGAGAAGATGGAAGATGGGTTTCCTGTGCCTTGGGCTTGGTGATTGCTGTGGGTCTGGGATGGCCAGAGGCTGAGGCCATTCTTATAAGGAGAAATTCTTATCAGGAGAAGAGCATTTCTCCCAGGCTGAGGCTTTGGGGCCCTTCAACAGGGCTTGCTGGGCTGAGGCTCTGAGTTCCTGATCTGGAGACTCTTTGTTCTCTGGATTTCTCAGATCCCCAGGAACGGGTGTGGGAGAGGGTTGGTCTGAGCTCCCAGTTTTCTTTCTCACAGTCTGTACTCCCTGTGTGTGTGTATGTATACGTGTGTCTTGTGTATCTGTGTGTGTGTATTCACTGATGTGACTTGTGGGTGTGAATCTGTACAAATGCGGTTTGCATGTGTGTTTGTATGTGTCTTCATCTTTCTGTGCTTGTGCTGTTTGCTTGTGTTTGACTGTGGGTCTGTGTTGAGTTGTGGGGGATGTGTGTGTCTGGGTGCTCATATATTTCTGCATGGGCCTTGGTGTCTGTGTGTGTGTCTGGTGTCTGTCTCTGTGTGTGCATGTGCTCCTGGGTCTGCAGTGAATAGCGTAACGCTGGCCGTGAACCTGGTGGGCTGTCTCGCGTGGCTGATCGGAGGCGGGGGAGCTACCAACTTTGGCCTCGCCTTTCTCTGGCTCATCCTCTTCACACCCTGCTCCTACGTCTGCTGGTTTCGGCCCATTTACAAGGCCTTCAAGTAAGTGATGGGTGCTGAACTCCAGCTCCTAACCCTGTCTCTTTGCCCATCTCCACTGTCTCTTCTCTACATATTTTTAATTTTAATTTTTTTTTTTTTGCCATCCTGCAAACTCACTTTCCCTTTGTTTACCCTCAGCTCAGACTGCCAGGTAGGATTTAGGCTTCCTGGGAGCTCTAGGCTGGGGTGAGAGGGCTGGAAGTTAGAACCTTTCTCTTAGTTCCTTCCTTCCTCACTCTACCCTTGGGTGGGGGCAACATAGAAACCAGGCCTGTTCTTGTTTTCCCTTCCCCAGGCAGCTAGCTGCATGATAAGTTTTGCCAATGGGGCCACCTGTCTTGATGGAGCTGTCCATCCTTGTACCCGTGGGGCTAGCTGATTTGGTGCCAAGTGGACCATCTATCCACGTGCCAATGGAACAAGCCATCCATGTGCCACTGACACTATGTGCTAATGAGGGCATCCAACTCTGTGCCAAAGGGATTACCCACCCATGTATCAGTAGGGCTAGCTGTCTTAGTGCCAATGGGTGTCTGCCTTGTGTCAAGTGGGATTTTCAATCTTTGTGCCAATGGAGTGTCCCTCTCAGTGCCAGTGTGATCTCAAATATCTTTGCCTACTGGGTCCATCCATGTATGTGCCAATTAGGCTATAATCTTGGTGCCAGTAGTGTGTCTGTTCTTGTGCCAATGACACTTTCTATCTTATGGGACCATCCATCCATGTACCTAGATGTCTTGGTGCCAGTAGGGCTGTCCAACCCTTTGACAATAGGTTTGTTTATTCCTGCCACAATGGACCCATCTATTTCTGTGCCAATGGGGCCAACCATCCATGTACCAGTGAGTGGTGCATTCATAAGGTGATCTCTCCCTATGTAATGTTGTACACACAGGCCTAACACATGGAAACTTGCAAAGATCCATAGGTAAACGCTGTCCTATTTTGGCCTCTTAACTAAGACCTTTAAATGTCTTCTGTCTATTGTGTACCCACTTAAACTTGGAAGGACTTAGAAGTCTTGAAGGCAGGGAAGCCCTGGCCCTCTACCCAGGTGATGGAAGCCATCTCCTCTGTTGCAGGACTGACAGCTCCTTCAGCTTCATGGCATTCTTCTTCACCTTCATGGCCCAGCTGGTCATCAGCATCATCCAGGCTGTGGGCATCCCAGGCTGGGGTGTCTGGTAAGAGACTGGGGTGTCTGGGACTGACCCAGGGCTAGCAGGGTGGCACCTGGGGTGTGTCCTTTGCTTACTTCTGTGGGCTAAGCTGCCTAGCCTGTGGGAACACCATGAGTTATTGGAAGTGTTAAAGGATTCAGGATAGTTTATAGTAGACAGAGCCATAGCATCAGAGGGGAATGAGAACCTTGCAGTGGTTTTTAGGAGTGCTGAGGGGTATCAAGCATCATGAGATTAAACTGAGGGAAGGAAGCCTTATGTCTGAGGAGCTTGTTTCCTGAGCCAAGGGTTCTTTCTGAACCACTGACACAGGCCCTTTGCATCCAATGATATCGCCTCTCCCTGTGACAATGAGATGGTCCTTTACTCTAGTGGGGTGGCTCCTGGGTACCTCTCACCATGCAAGGCAGCCCCACAGCTGGCCTATTTCTGCAGCGGCTGGATCGCTACCATTTCCTTCTTCGGAACGAACGTTGGCTCAGCGGTGGTGATGCTCATTCCCACTGTCATGTTCACGGTCATGGCTGTCTTTTCCTTCATTGCCCTCAGCATGGTATGTGGTCACCTCAAGGGTTAGAGGGTGGTGTTGGGAAGGGACTGTGATCTGTAACAACCCTTCTCCCAAGTTACAAGAGGACCCAGGGGTCTTCCAAGGGACTCACTCTGGAATGGCTTGGTGGACTTTGCTCCCAGTGCACAGGGCATGGGTGGGAGGACTGGCTTTTACGGTGACTTCTCTCTGGCTCCCATGTCTCTTCTGGATAGGCTGCCTCTTCCCTTTGATTAACCCTTCCTTGTGCTCCTCATTCTACAGGTTCATAAATTCTATCGGGGCAGCGGGGGGAGTTTCAGCAAAGCTCAGGAGGAGTGGACCACGGGGGCATGGAAGAACCCGCACGTGCAGCAGGCGGCCCAGAACGCAGCCATGGGGGCGGCGCAGGGTGCCATGAATCAGCCGCAGACTCAGTATTCTGCCACCCCCAACTACACATACTCCAATGAGATGTGAACGAGCCAAGCCTACCAGAAGCTGGCTGGGGGCCGGTGGAACGGGGGCTCAAGCCACACGTTGTGGTGACCAAGCAGGGTTCCCCCTTCCCTTTTTCTCCTCCTCCACTTTGTACAAAGAATCAGAGTTATATATATATATATATATATACATATATATGTATATCCTCTCCCCCACACCCTTGGATTCACGTGGAGCTGTCCCGTGCGGTGATAGCTGTGTCTGTGTCCCCTTGTGAATAGTGTGCAGTGAAGGTCTCTGTTGTTGTGGTGCTAGATGTATGTTTAGAACTAAACCAGCCCCCCACCCTCCACCAGGCTGCCCCCTCTGACCTTGGCCCAGGGACCCTTCATGGGGCAGAGGGAGGCATAGCAGAAGAGCCTGGCCCCCTCCCAAGGGTTATGAGCTGAAACTGTTTCCACTTTCGGTCTTACTGGGGAGCAGCAGTATTTAGAACTCATGGGGATGGTAGTGGGGAGAGTGGAGACCCGCAGAGGATCTTCTTCTGCTCCTTCTGATCCAGGTCTCTCCCTGCCACCACCCCCAACCTCCTCCTCCCCTCCTCTCTTCCTGCTGTCAGATTCCTGTGGTCCCTTCTCCTGCCCAGGGTCTCTCTCTTCTCTCTGTGGCTTTTCTTTGTCTTCTCCAAGGTTGAGTGTCCCAGTTGTATCTGCTCCTGAGACTGAGCCCCTTCCCAGATCCAGGAAGCAGACAGGGGAGCTGAGCCTTAGCCCTGATGTGGGAGGGCCCACAGCCGGAGATGCAGAGCCCACCTGGGTACCTGAATCCAGGGGATGGAAATGCAAGGCAGGCTCCTCTCTTCCCTGCCTTGCCTTCCCCTCCTTCTCTTCCCAGAGCCCCGTTGAGCCTCGTCTGCCTATGTCCCAGCTGTGGCCTGATTCTCCTACCCTACCCCTACTGTGTTCTAGGTGGCATCTGCCATCCATAAGGGCAGATTCTACTGCCTTCCCTGAAGAGCTAGGCAGTGTCCAGGCAATTTTCAGGTGTAAAGGTGCAGCTGGAGCAGAGGGTATGTAAATAACTACTGGTCTCTGGGTGTCGTTTGGTTGGCCCAAGCCCACTGGGCAGGTGCTAGGTGTCTCTGAATGACCACTGGATTCCTGGGAGCGATAGCTGTTCTGTTTGGGTCTGATAGAAGGGATAGGCTCAGAGGGCTGGTTCTGGAGGGAAGATCAGAGGAGAAGGCAGGCAGGGCCCGGTGAGAGGGGATCATGCATCCCCCCCACCCCAGCTCACTCTTGGTCATAGGGCAGTTCTGGGCACTTGAACTCAAGGCCCAGGAAGAAGCACAGGCCCAATCCTATGTGGAAGCACAATGGCTGGAATGTGATTTCAGTTTAGGTCGGGTGGGAGGGGCGATTCTCTGGCTCTTGTTTTTTTTCAAATCAAGATTACTTGCTTCTCTCTGCCTACTAGACTTGATTCTTGGCCCTTCCTCACCCTGTCAGCAACCCGTTTCCTTTCCAGGCCAGTGACTGCAGGCCTGTTCTGTGCCAGACATTGTGAGAATGTTGTTCGTAGAGGCCCTGGCTCTCTCGGAGGCCTGGAGGGGAGTGGGTTCTCACCCAAGGAGCAGCTGCCCATTTCTCACTCACTGCCCCCACCTCCCACCTGGGCTATTTAGCTTGAAAAACCAAACCCCGCCTGGCCACTCTGGGCGGCTCCAGCTTAGAACCCAACACCTGGATTTCCAGGTGCCGTCCTGAGCTTTGAGCTCCAGGTACTTCATTTTCCTGTAAGGGGAGCTAGGGCCTCTGGGAAGTTATCTTCCTAATGGTCCCTTAGGCTTGGGCCAGAATGTGATTGGCTCTCTCCTCCACCACTTTCTCTGCAGAAAGCAGTTGTCACAGGCCCTAGTACCGGAAAAGAGACCCTAGGTCTAGGTTCTTCCTCCCATTTCCTTTCTCCCCTCCCAGACCTCTGGCTCCCTTTCTCTTTGTCTCTCTGGTAACTCCAGGAGGCCTGTGGTCCAGCTGCCAGCCCAGCATCCTTGACCTGTTGGATGCCACCTCCAGTCAATTTCCTGTCCTACCTACCCTTTCTCTTTCTTGGCTCACACCTGTATGGCCATGCCCTGGCTCTGCCCTTAGGAAGACCTGCTACCTGTGTGTGGCCCAGCTTGTCCAGGCCCTGGGATGCTGCATCTCCAGGCAACTATGCACTTTCCTGGGGAGGGAGCCAGTATGAGAAGTGGGGGCTGGGCACAGATACATCTCTGCTGGATGGTCTGGCTTGAGGGTCGGGTGGAAGAAGGCCCAGGTCAGTCTGGAAATCCTCAGGTCTTTGGCCAGCCAGTCACCTGCTTTTGCATTCTGCTGGTGCCCCCTGCCCCTCTTTGTTTCTGGGAGACACAGACCATTCTCCAACTGGCAGTTGACCTGCCTGAGCCAATGTGTCTGTCAGTGGTAACTGAATGAACCATAATAAAGGGGAACATTTGGCCCTCTGTGTCCTGCTGTGTCATGTGTCTTCATGCGGGCCTGTGTGGAGCCTCACCATGGGCTGTAGGCAATGGGGATAGGGTGGTTTGAGTGGGTCTGTCATTCCCAGAGGCCAAAAGTCACACACCTCTGTGTGGTTCTTTCTCTGAGGCAGCCTCGAAATTGCCACAGAGGCCTTCTGCCTGTTAGGAGGAGGAGTTCTGAGTTCCCTGAGGAAGAAGTAGAAGGCTGGATCAGTGGGTGAGGGGTGGTTTGGTTCAGATGGTCACTGTAGGCAGGGCAGGGGTAGAGCACAGAGGGCCCCACCTCAGCTCTCATTGAAGGAGACTGGCAGCTGATTGAGGACCCAGGGGCCTGTGGATGCTGGAGGATGAAGGAGGCAGGGAGGTGTATCCAACGTGCTCTCCTCTGCTGCTTTCCCTTTGCCAATGCTGTGTCCTCCACTTGGAGGGCCGTTCTGGCACTTTTTATTTAAGCTCCTGGTCATCCTTCAAGATTCACCTTGAGTGACTCCTTCTCTGAGAGAGCTTCTCTGCCTCTGATTGTTACTTAGGACCCTCTCCTTCCTCATGGACCTTATTCTGTAATTTTTTGTGTCCCTCTTTGTCTCAAGAGCAGGGAAGAGTCTGATTTAGCTCTGTATCCTGTGCACATAAAACATACAAGAGGCTCAGTAAATGTTAAGTATTAAGTGCTGCAGTGATGAGCAGTGTGGGATGGGGCTGGGGCGGGGGTAAGTAGGTCAGACAATCTGGGCCAGGCCCAGATGAGCACAGGAAATACCAAGAACTTGGAAGCTGGTGTTCCCGACAGGACTCCCCGGAATGGACTACAGTTCCCAGAAGGCTGAGAAGTGGACTGCAACTCCCAGAAGTCTGCGCAGTCGTGGAGGCTGCCGGCGACTGTGGTAGCGTTGCGTGCCAGTCAGAATCTGTGGGAGGGGCGACCGAGGTATCGCGATATTTTGGGGGCTGCTCCGAGACGCGCCTGACGCGGGTGAGGAGGCTGGGGGGCCCTCTGGAGGCAGGTTTCACGCGGTGGGGCAGGAGGGAGGCTGGAAAAGCTTCATTCGCGATTTTGGGTCTGTGGCTCTGTGTGTGACCTCACTGTGTGTGTGTGTGTTCTCTCCCTCCTATCGGTGCCCGAGAAGCTTTGCTGCGGGTCTGCGCCTGTGTGTGTGTGTGTGTGTGTGTGTGTGTGTGTGTGTGTGTGTAGGGCCTGTGGAACCTGTGTGTGTGTGTGTGTGTGTGTGTGTGTAGGGCCTGTGGAACCTGTGGGGCCGGAGCGCCATGGACCCCTTCCCGTCTCCATCCTGAAGTGGGGCATTTATATATATATATACACGCTCCCATCCCGGCTTTGTGCTGCTCTGCAATTAACTAGTACCATTTAATCTAGTTTGAAAGGTGGTCCTATCGGTTACCCACACTTAACCTTTTGCCTTAAAGAAACAAAAACAAAATCCATGAGCCTGCCTCCAGAAAGGAATGGGGATGGCCCAAAGTACAAACTATATTTTACAAGTTGGTAAAATAGAAAAAGGAAAGCCCTGGGATATTGCAGTTGTCCCCTGGCTCCACCTAAAAGTGCCGAATGGCATTAAAAATGAAAGTGAGGCCAAATTTTGTCAGAGAAAAACTTCGTGCTGTACTTTGAAGTATTGGAGGCCTGTGCCAGGTAATAGGCAGGGGAGATTCCCAAGCTGGGGAAGTGGTGGGTATCTTGGGGCAGGAGTTTTCCACATCTCTCCAAGTGACTGAGAGGTGGCAGTTCTCAGTCACTCCCTCACTAGTAGTCACTGCGTGTGTATGTAATATATATCTATATATCCCCAACATGTGGCCTTGAGGAGGGGTGCCTCATGGGATTCCAGGAGTAGCAGACTCTGGAAGCATGCCTGCTTCTGGTTTGAGAGAAAAGCAGTCTTTTTGTTTGTTTTTAATTTTCTTGGCCGCACTGGCAGCACATGGGATCTTAGCTCCCCAGCCAGGGATCAAACCTGAGCCCCTTGCATTCGAAGCTCGGAGTCTTAACCACTGGCCCGCCAGAGACGTCCTGAGAGAAGAGCAGTCTTAGCAGAATGTCAAGACCTTGAGCTCTCCCTGAAGAGTTCCTTGCCTTTCCTTGGAGGAAGGGGTTTAAAGTGCCCCTGTGGCCACGTGACTCCTTTTAATGACTGGGTTTGGGGGAAGAGTACCACTATGGGGAACTATAGGTGTTTCATTATTACTGGGGCAGAGTTGTATTGACTGGTGGGAGATGAGGCCAGAGCAGACTCTTGGGGCCAGTAATAGGAACTTTGATGTCAGGCTAAAGGATTCAAGCTCTTAATGGATCCTGGATCCCTGCCCACCCACCCAAATTTGGTTCTGCTTTTTCCTAGGCCCCAGTTCCTCATCATTCCTGTGCTGTGCTGGGCTCATACCCCATCTGGCTTTTTTTTTAGCCCTGGTCCTGCCCTGGCTGCACACCTGCCCATATTGTGACTGGCAAGTATTCCTGAAACTTGTACTTAACTCTGTCCTAATTAAACTCATCAGAGAAGGAGACTTACACATCACAAGTCTGCCACAGCTGAGGCTCTTTACTCTGTCTGGCCTTGTCTTTCTAAAGGACAGAGAAACTGTCATTTTTCTGGCTGTGACTGTATGCATGTGGCTACCTGCATGGCTAGTGCCCTGGGAGCTTGAGGCTCAGTAATCACAGCCTTCAGCCCTATAACCTCTCTGCCTGCCAACTCTTTCTGCTGCTCAAGAGTTCCTATGAGTAGAGCAGAGCTCAGGAAAATGAGGTGCTGTCTACAGCTACCTTGGCTGTGCAAATAGATGGTTCTAACAGGGACTGGGTAGAGTAATAGACTTACTGGTTTGGGATTTGATCTTTTTTTGAGAGTAAACATAAAGAACTGCTGGGACTTCCCTGGAGGTGCAGTGGATATGGCTCCGTGCTCCCAATGCAGGGGGCCCGGGTTCAATCCTTGGTCAGGGAACTAGATCCCACATGCATGCCACAGCTAAGAGTTCACTTGCCACAACTAAGGAGCCCACGTGCTGCAATTAAGGAGCCCGCCTGCTGCAACTAAGACCCAGTGCAACCAAATAAATAAATATTTTTTAAAAAAGGGACTTCCCTGGTGGTCCAGTGGCTAAGACTCTGTGCTCCTAATGCAGTGGGCCCAGGTTCTGTCCCTGGTCAGAGAACTAAGGTCCCGTATGCCACGTTGCATGGCCAAAAAAAAAAAAAAGAATTAAAGGGCTTCCCTGGTGGCACAGTGGTTGAGAGTCCGCCTGCCAATGCAGGGGACGCGGGTTCGTGCCCTGGTCCGGGAAGATCCCACATGCCGCGGAGCGGCTGGGCCCGTGAGCCATGGCCGCTCAGCTTGCACATCCGGGAGCCTGTGCTCCGCAACAGGAGAGGCCACAACAGTGAGAGGCCCGCGTACCGCAAAAAAAGAAAAAAAAAAAAAAGAATTAAAAATAAATACATGTTAAAAAAAAAAAAGAACTCCTGCCAGCTGTCACCCTACATGGGACTGTCAGATTGAACTGATTTGACCTTGCTTTCAGATGTTGGTTAAATTTTCCACTTTCTGACCCTCAAGTACATATCCCCCCCACACCCGCCTTCTAGAAAGATAGGTAGGCTTTGGTCCTTAACAAAGATCGCTCAGCAGGCTAAGTAGTAAATCTTGGGCTGTACCACCTGCTATGGGGAAGCAGCTGAAGTCACCAGCATGGATTCCTGCCCCAAGTTTAACTGATTGCTTTCAGTAACCTATTCCCTAGGAGTGATATCAATTTGATGTGGAGGAGGTTTTATTTTTATTTTTTTAATTTTTAAATTTTTGGTTTTTTTTTTTTGTTGTTGCACTGCGCAGCTTGTGGGATCTTAGTTCCCTGACCAGGGGTTGAACCTGGGCGCTCGGCAGTGAGAGGGCCAAGTCCTAACCACTGGACCACCGGGGAGTTCCCTGGAGGAGGTTTTAAATTCAGCTTCTGGTTTTGCAGGAATCTCCATGTCCTTGAACCAGTTGGCTGGGGTAGGACAGGGTCCAGGTTTGGGATTTGGCAGGCGGGTTTCCCTGGAGAGTGCAGGATGTGCCTCTATCACCTACTGTGGGTGCTCGCTAGCACACTGATTAGTTCTGGGAAGCTGGCTGATAGGCCCTCTAGACCTTGTCATTTGCTAACAGGGCTCTCCAGGCCCTAGAGTAGACTCAGGTCTGCTCTGGGCAAGCATGGCCCTGGCTGAGGCCCTGACGTAGAGGTTGAGATCTCTGGCAAATGGAACTTTGGGGGAAGTTCTGTTCTAGGGACCTGGCCTGTGCTTAACGCCTGTTGAGAAGGGTCTGGGCCCCTCGGAGACCCTTCCAGGTAGAAGTGGAATAATAGACCCAAACATGATCCTCAGCTCATGTGGTTATGTGCCTGAGTCTTGAAGGCAAAAAATGGGCAAAGAGGCCCTAAGGAGCCAAGGGGCCTGTGGAGTGAAAAGGGAGCCCTTATGGGTGTGCAGCCACATAGATAGCCATTGGGTGACTCACTGGACTTCCTCCTCGGGGTCTGCCTTGGTCTCCCTTCCCCTTGTTGATTCTACCCTTTTTGAGTACATCTCCCAGGACCCCCTTGTAGAGAGAGTCCCTTACCTCTGTCTTTCATGCATTGACTCAGAAGTTTTCTGATGGAAGGAGCTTCAGAGATCACCTGGTCCTATCTTTGCATTTTTCAGATGAAGAGACATGTCCAGGGAGGGAATGACCCTGAGCCAAGGTCACATACCAGGTCAGGAGCACAACCATGGCCAGGGCCCAGGGCTCCTGATTCATAGGCCAGGCTTCTGTTCTCTGCCCCACTCTACTTCAGAGGGTGCAGTTTATTACTCATTCGGCAGATGTTCAGGACCTACTACAGGCCCGATACCTGTCTGGCAGTTGGTGTTTAGACCAGGTCGCACATTCAGGGAGCTTGCTGGGGGTGTTGGTGGTCATGGGAAAGTGGAGAGGGAAAGGCAAGGAAACCGATGCACAGATTGAATCAGTGATCACCAAAAAGGTGCATCCCAGAGAAGGACCCATCTCAAGTGATTTCAGGTGTGACTCTTGTCGTCTCAATTCATGCACAGATCCCCTAAAGGCAGCGGCTGTCTCTTCCACAGTTTCTTTGCCGGTGCTAGATGTAGTTGGTCCTTGATAATTGTTGCTGATGGAGTATGTTTTGCTGGCCCAGTCTGCCAGAATGTAGGCTTTGATGTGTTCATCAGCCATATTATGAACACTCACTTCTAGCAACATCTGAGGGCCAGAGGAAGAAACCAAGCAGCTAGTCTCATGGGGTGGCCTTTATCCTTTTTATGCTTGTCTCTTCTCGGCCTTGGATTTGTAGGGTGGTGCCTGATCCGCAGGGAGGGACAGAGGGGCAAATCTCTCAGCTCCCTGGAGCACCCAAACCCCTTTGTTGCATAAGGTTCTACCCCACAGGCATCCCTGGAACCTACCCTGCCCTGCCACTCTCTTCAGCCAGCCTAGCCCACTGCAGTGGCTCCTTTGTCTGCCCCCTCCAGTCTCTTCACCACCAAGGCCCCCTCCACATTTCTCACCAGCACCGTCTTTCTAAAATGAAAACGCACCATAGCCCTCACTGCTCTTGACACTTAGTCCTTGACCTGATTTTGCAGCCTTACCTCCTGCCCACCCCACTGCCCGCCCCACTGCCCCCTCCTTCCATCACGCTTTAGCCTCACTGCTAAGCTGCTTTCTGTTCCCCAGACCTGCCACCCTCCTTCAGGCCTCTTTACCTCTGCAAGATTGCTCCTTCTTGCAAAGTTATTTCCTTGCTTCTCTGAAAAACTTCCTCATCCTGCAGGACTCAACCTGAATGTTATTTTTTTGGTCTCTGACTTACTCAGACAGTAACTCCTAGGCAGCACAGCCTTATGGCACTGGCCGCATTACATTGTGACTGACCCACGTGGGATGAGCGTGTCTGACCTTATCACACTGTGTGCTCCCAGAAGCTGGGACTGTTGACCCCTCAGGAACACTAGCATCTGGCCCAGGCTCTAATACAGGGTGCTCAGTACATTTTGGTTGAATGTATGAATGAAGCAGGCACCCCCTGTTCTGCTTTTAGATCCTAAATCCTGGCAGAGCTTTATGGAGCCCAGTTCTGGCAGGCTCCCAGGACTCGAAGCTACCAGACCGCACATGGAACCC